CAGGATCAGCGCACAGACAGGGCGCACAGAGCGAGAGCGCACAGACTGAGAGTACACAGAGGCTGGACCAGACAGCAGGATCAGCGCACAGACAGAGCGCACAGAGGCTGGACCACACTGTAGGGTCGCAGTTGTTTAACTGATTCCTCTGAGCTCAGTTTAAGGGCACAAAGCTTTGCCTCAAATTTGGCACTTTTGAAGTGTACTGACCATTTTCCTCCCCAACAGATAAGGTATCAATCAGTATAAGCTATTAGTCCTTCTGCATGTCGGCATTTACTTCCTTTCAAATAAGTTTCGTATTATCCTCTGCACATTCTGTGTTTAGTATGTTTCATGATAGAAAAAATGCCCTTTCTTCCCCAGTCTACAGACTCTGCAGAGAACACAGGTAAGTCGCTCAAGTGGCTGTCCTCCCAGCAGGTCCTGGTGCCGACTCACAGCAGCAGGACAGATGAGGTGCCCATGAGTGAGGGTGCAGCCCAGAACCCCCGTACAGTTGTGACATGTCCCAGGAATCCCTCTCTGCTGTCTTGCACTCCTCCACACATGGGCCGTTACTGACAGCGCTGTTAGCGACATAACATGCTTAGGCACTCTAGTAAGTGTAACACTGACACTAAGTATTAGACAAACGCAGCCCAGCTACTCAAGCACTATAAATGAGGTTTCCATGGCGTCTGGTGCACGGACACGCTGAAGACTGAAAGCATGTCTTAGTTCTGGTCATGAAGAAAGTTGTTGAGGCTTCCCAAAGACTGAGCTCGTGAGCCACAGTTCTCAACTCCGCTGGTCTTGGCAGTGTCCACGTGCAGAATGAATGCCTATTGGTTAGCCTTTTCACTTGAAGTGTTTCCCAAAGCGGGAGGATAGCAGAGTAGGCCCTTGTGGCTGGGAAGAAGGATTTCAACAGCATCTCTGTCCTGGCACATCCCACGTACGTCCCGTCCTGCCTTCCCGGAAAATCTCAGTGTCACAGCCATATACTGCAACTGCAAACAGCAAGCGGCCCCAACAGGGTCATATCCACACTGCTGCCCAAGTGCACAGCAACATCCGCCCAGCAGGGGAGTGCAGCACAGATGCCACATGGTGCTCCGAGCAGGACCACAGTCACACGTGAGGGTCACATGTGGCATACAGAGCGGATCCAGCAGACGGTGAGAGGCAGGAAATCGGCTTCCCGATAAACCCTCAAACAAAGCGGCATTTTTCTTTGAAACGTGATTGGTTTTGAAAACTCTGTTTCTGCCTCGCTGGGGAGGAAGTGTGTGTGTGTGTGTGTGTGTGTGTGTGTATGTGTGTGTGAGAGAGAGTGAGAATGAGTGTGTCTGAGCCTGTGTATGAGGTGTACATGTGTCTGTAGTGAGGGTGACTGTGTGTGAATGTGGGACGTGTGTGGGGTGTGTGAAGGTATGTGTGCAGTACATGTGTGAGAGCATGTGTGTGAGTGTGGTACATGCATGAGGGTATGTATGAGGATATATGACAGTGTGTGTGTATATGAGGTACATGTGTGAGGAGCATGTGGTACACATGTGAGGGTGTGTATGTATGATAGGGTGTATGAGTGTGCACGTATGAGGTACATGTATGAGGGTGTGTGTGTGTGCGTGTGTGAGGTACATGTGTGAGAGTATGTGTGTAAGGGTGAGGGTGTGTTGCATGAAGTATGTCTCTGTGTGTATGTACACATGTGTATGTTGTGTCTGGTATATGTATGGCATGTGTGTGTTACATGTATGGGGTGTGTATATCTGTTTGTGTTGTGCCTGTCTCTGTGTTATATGTGGTATGTGTATGCCTTGTGTGACAGTGACCATGTGCGATATGTGTGTGTGGATGTGCACATGTGTATGTTGTATGTAGTATGTGTGTGTGTGTGAGGATGAAGATGAATGTGGTTATACTATATGTTATATGGTTATATTGTGGAGGATGTGTGTCTCTGTGTGTATTTTATGTGGAGTGTGTTTGTGTGAGGGTACATATGTGCATATGTGGTGTGTGTGCATCTGCATGTATATGTTCACGTGTGTGTCTATGTGTTGTGTGTCTCTGAGGACAAATGTGTGTGTGTGCTTGAACTGTGGAGTGTGAATATGCATGCGTGTGTTGTACATGTGGCTGTGTTCTGTTGTACACAGACTTGTGTATCTATGTGAACGTGCATGTGTGTTGTACTATGGCTCTGTGTGTTGTGTGTAGAATGTGTGTGCGCATGTGCGTGTTGTATGTGTAGCTTTATGTAGACGGTTTGAATGTGCATGTCTGTGTTGTATGCATGGCTGTGTGTGTTGTACGTAGAGTGTGTGTCCGTGTGAATGTGTATGTGTGTTGTATGTATGACTGCGAATATTGTATACAGGCTGTGTGTGTCTGTGTGCATGTGCATCTGTGCTGTGTGTGTGTGTGACTGTGTGTTGTAAGTAGATTGTGTGTCTGTGTGCATGTGCATCTGTGCTGTGTGTGTGTGTGACTGTGTGTTGTAAGTAGATTGTGTGTCTGTGTGCAAGTGCATTTGTGCTGTGTGTGGCTGTTCATGTTGATTGTGTGTCTGTGTGTGCTGTATGTAGATTGTGTGAATGTGCATGTGACTGTGGATGTGTGTGTGGTGCGTGTCCACCTGCGTGTGAGGGTCAGGGTGTGTCTGTGTGCCTTTTGATGCCAGCAGACTGGGAAGTCTTTAGGAGCAGCAGCCACTCCGTGTCTACTGCCCTAATCTCAGACACTCCCTTGTACATGTGGCTGTGTGTGTGTTGTATGTAGACTGTGTGTGTCTGTGTGCATGAGCGTGTGACTGTGGATGTGTGTGTGGTGCAGGTCCACCTGCATGTGAGGGTCAGGGTGTGTCTGTGTGCCTTTCGATGCCAGCAGACTGGGAAGTCTTTAGGAGCAGCGGCCACTCCGTGTCTACCGCCCTAACCTCAGACACTCCCTTGCTCCCTGTAATGTCCACCACCCAGCGACACTGAATTCTATCTCTGGCTCTGCCAAGTGCCACTCCTTAGAAACTAAAATAACGGCACCAAAACAAGATGACAATAGCTGCAATTCTGAGCTCCAACACTGCCTTCTCAGACACATAAAAACCTAATTATTCCTATTAAAACGACTTTCTTGTTTTGCTATTAAGTGCCATCTTAATTCAGTTCCAACTCACAGGACCCTTTATACGGTTTCTGAGGCTATAAATCTTTGCGGGAGCAGAAAGCCTCATTGTTCTCCCACAGAGCAGCCCGTGGACTCGAACCGTCAACCCTGTGGTTCACAGAAACAACAAAAAGATAACCTATCAATACCAGGCAGAGAATGTTGACATATCACTACAAAGGATAGTCAATTGGCCAACAAGCACATGAAAAGATATTCCGCATCTTCAGCATTTATTGTTAAGGTTGCTCCAACTGGTAGCAACCCTGCATACAGGAGCAGCTGGTGAGTTTGAACTATCGCCCTTAGGGTTAGCAGTCCAGTGCTTATCCTACAGGAATCAAAGCTACCATGTGAGACCACCTCACCACTAATAAAATGGCTATGGGTTTGTTTGGTTTGTTTTGAGGGGAAAACAAGTACTGAAGCGGTTGTGGAAAAACTGGGAACTCTCATTAACTGATGGTGGGACCCAAAAGGTACTATGGGACCCTAAGAAGAAAACTCCATTTTCTACCTAGGCTAAAGCACATCGTCCCCCCGTCTCAGGAATGTGCCTGGTCAGTTAGTACCAGACGGAGATGACCCCCTTCCCCTACGAGCCATAAAAGTAGAGATAAACTCTCCTGACAAACCCAAGGCTAGATAATGTATGTCTTCCTTATCCTAATTAAACTGTCCTAGCGTAACAAACGTCCTCCTTATCCTAATGAAGCTATTCTAGCTATAGGTAGTGGCCAATCGAATTGTGTAATCCCGTACCTTACCAAGTGTAAACCAATCCTAGAGAAGTTAGATAGAAGACCCCCAAATCTGTTTGTAAAAATCTATAAAAACCCCACTAAAAGGGAGCTCTGGGCTCTTGCCCTAATCCGCTGCGTAGGATGTGGTTAGAGACCTGGCTTGAGCTTGAATAAACAATCCTTATGTATTTACATCAGTGACGGCTCCTGGGTGGTCATTGGGGACCCCGAACTCTGGGCATAACAGTACAACCGCTATGACCCAGTGGTCTCAATCCTATGTATACACCCAGATGAAGCCAAGGCAGGAACACAAACAGAATTCTGAGCACTAATGCTCATGGCAACAACCAAAAGGTGGACACCACCAAAACATCCAACAACAGATGACT